CCTGGGGAAAGTGCCCTGGAAAGGTGGAGCTGGTCTGATTAATGCCTATCCAGCTAATACAGCCACAGAGTCACTGGAAGAGCCACCTCTTCTCGCTCTCCTGCTCTTCACAAGCACAACCAGCTTGCTGGGACGGGAAATATGTGAATGACACCTTTCCACAATCCTCTTCCCCCTCCACAACCTGACTAACAATCTGAGCAAGTCTGCTTTACCCCAAGAGGCAAGCACCTGGGGACAACCAGACTGACCATGGTTATTCAGACACCTGAGAAACGAGTGGGGTGAAACCCAGCTTGCAAGGAATGAGTACTTCACTAAAAGGGAAAGGGGGCACTTTGCCAGAAGGAGCAGCTTACRTTTGCTTGCTGAGAGCTGGGACTTATACTGGCCTCGGACCAGGCGGCAGGTGGACCCGTCTCCATTGCAGACCCCACAGTTATCTTCCTTGACAGCACTTCCCAGCTGGTGGTCACAGCCAACAATCTGGCAAGAAAGAAAGATGTGCAGTTCAACATGAGCACTTACCAACTGACTGCTCAATCCATCTCTGCAACTAATTAAATTTCTCTCTTAGCATCTCCAGAGGGCCATAAAGTACCTTAGCAATGAAAGAGGCTGAGCAAATCTGGCTGGGAGTGTGCACTGAGGTCAGGCGTGAGATAGTGAACAGGTTAGTACTCAATGGCTTTTGCAGTCCAGAGGAAGAAAGGAGTATTGTTGGAGGTTGTTATTTTAGGGCATTGTGAACATTCTTGGTCAAAGTCCTATCAGAAATTTCACTTCTTAGAGTTTCACAAAGAAAAATGCCTGAAACAGATAAGAAGACAGATAGGAAGGAGACAGATAGATAAAACTAAAGAGCAGCATTGATCAGTAGTAACACGGCTCGGTGAAATTTTACCTGCTAGGCAGCTGGGGAAGCCATGTGGTTTTAATTATGTTTGACAATAATCCCATTCCACACTGTCAATGCCTGTGTTCAGATATTGTAAAAGATCTGATAAAGAAGGATGGAATGATTGCAACAAAAGAATTGAGAATCATTGCATGAATGCAATTACCTGCTTTGTAATTGGCTTTATGCCTATATGTAAATTGTTGGGTTCAAAATGTTAAGAGTCGAATACATGCACTAAGTTTCTCAGTTTGCAAAACCCTGATAATTCYCAGAAGAATCAACAGAAATTTATAATTAAGTACATTTAAAGTTAATTAATGGGCTATAAATTTATTTTACACAGTGTTAATATAGGCCTTTTGATTGAACTTTAACTTCTGCATCCAAATTAGGAATTTTTCACATAAATAATTGAAATCCAAGAAATTAAGGAAGGCCTCATGATGTTATCAGTAAGTATTTTGGTATTAGAAAACGAAAGGCCTTCTGGCATTCTGGCATGCAAARTAAGCGACAAATATTTGTCTGTAACTTCTTTTGAGTTTGTGCTAAGGCTCTTAGCCAAATGGAGTATATATATATAAACACAGGGAACTTAAAATAAAGTGCTTGTCTTAAATTTCCCTGTATTTCTGAGTTGCAGTTAAATCAGGGAGCTGGGTCCTAGAAAATGATGAGAGCAAACAGGGCACTTACCATCAAGACTTGTCAAAAGGTGTGTGTGTAATTTGCCCACTTAAATATTCAGAGTAGTATTTTTTATTTGTACAAATCTGAGTGTGCAGAATTACACATCTCTGCTAGGGTGAGATGTACTTCTGGTTTTGACAATTTCTTTCCATTTGCCTATGAAAATGCATTCTTTAATAACCAATATTTAYTTGAAGCAATTTAATTCCCATTTCTAATACCATTATAGCTGCACAATAGCTCTTTCCTTGATTGTCTGTCGTATTGACAATATAATTAGTTTAATTTCAATCAGTGTCAATATAGATTCAGGATTGATCATCAAATTTCTTTGATTTTACATACATCTTCCAGGTCAGAACCAGGTCAACCCTCCTATGCTTACACATTACATTTTGATGCCTCGAAGGGAATTAATGAGGCCCAGAGAAGTAAGAGTCATTCATAAATGGTACATTTCCCTTGAAAGCTAGTAATATCAAGCTGCAAGAGACATTTTAAGGCATTAGAAACACCATGAGAAAAATAATGGTTAGAAACCTGAAGCAAAGATAAGAGTATCTTGACTGTGACTGCTCCGTACAGAATTCCCAAGGACAGATATACAAATTGCATCCATGTAAGATTTATGTCTAAGTTTTTTTCTGAATAAGAATATCTCTAAAGGAGCTGAACCACCTTTGATATACACAGGCTTCAACTTCCATGAATGCTACTGTGTGGACATGACAGTAAAAAGATCACTTGCATGATCTGAAAACTGGATGATAATGCCTACAAATCAGATTTTCCTTCTAGTGCATTAGAGATCACCAGCATTCACAGTGAAAAAGCTCCTGCTGGAGAATCCAGATAACAGAAGAAAGGTCAGAATTCCCTTTCATATCTACTCATATTTTATACTCAATTAGTTCAGCTAGAGTGGTACAGAAAGTTTTATGCCTTTGCCTATTTTGAAACGAATATGTAAACTGCTTGGATATGAAACAGGCTGGATCCGATATCCAGGTATGAGGTAACCAATTTCAAAAAACAGCATTTACTACTTAAAAGCATTTTTAACTTTATGAATCATCAGCTCACATGTTGCCATGGGCTATAGCCTGATTAAAGTTAATTTATAAAATGAGCAATTTGGAGCTAGGTCACAACTTGTGGAGGAAGCCACCAGGAAAATCTCAGGTGTGAAAGGAAGTTATATTGCAGTTTATTTCTTTTTTTTTTTTTTGAGTTGGACAGCCATTACTAGTGTACAGAATAAAAATATTTCTTCTGTTGAAATATTGTGTGTCTAATGGCAGTGCAAGCAATATGGAAAAATGGAGACCTTTGTGAATACTAACACTTCTTTGGTATGTACAAAATGTATATTAATCTTGCTGTATTTGGTACTGTGTCAGATAATTTTATGTGATTWAAAGTTTTMATGAAATTAAAMGAATTTCCTCTTTCTCCCCAAGATMTCTGCAGAGATTTTTTCTTTAATTTATTAGATTATCTGTYTTAATAGGTATGCAGAGCTCTGGGAGTATGTATGAAATTTTCATTAAAGAAACTTATGAGTGATTAACTAATGCCTGAAATAAAAATTGTTCCCAAGTTCACAGCTTTTACTTTATTTTTTTTTTTCCCACTACCTAGGGAAATTCTTCAATCTTTTGAAGGTAAATACATGCACTAGAAAGATTACTGGTATTTGCATTTGCATCCATTTGGAGTCATGGATGCTTTGAAATGAAAAACACTACTCCAGATCTCTTATATTAGTTTTTAGTAGCTCTTACATGAAAACATTTTACAGGCTGGACCCTCTTGAAAGCAAAAGATCAGACAAGGAAATATTAAAGCGCTCCTGAAAAAATACACAGTTCATGAGAACAATATCTTTTGTCTCTGAGCAGAAGAAACAGAAGCTTGGCTGAGCAGAGAACATAAAATTTCCATAATATTATTTTCACTGTCCATCAAGGCTGCAGAGGACTCACTGAGAAAGATTACCAAATGGATGAAAAACATCACCACTCCCCCAGAAACCTCCAGGGGGTTAACAAGGATCAGGAAAGCAGAATTATTTCTTTCTGTATCTACCCACAGAATGAACAAAACTCAGAGGGAATGTTTTAAAATAGCTATTATCAGAGATGTTGAAAATGCAAGACACTAGAAGAGGCCAGCTACGAAAAAAAAGTAGATTCATTTGATCTGCAGAACTAGAGAAAGCTGCCAAGACACTGACCTATGGGCATACTCATCTGATGAGAGGTGGTTGAGGACCTCATCATGAAAATAAGCCCCATGGAAGGCACTGCTTCCTCAGCATGGTGAGCAAAGGAAACAACAAAAATATTGTACTTCCAACACACAGCTCAGATAAATGGTTTGGGGAACAGAGTTTGAAACAAAATATTGACATTTTTGAATCAGAGGTCTGGGAATATTTCACTCTCGGGAAAGCTTTGAATTGTCAACTCCTTGTCTTGGTTTGAAGCTGGATCCAATGTTCAAATTCTGAAGTTTCTGTGGGATAGAAACTTCCCTTTCCAATCCTTCTATTTCTGATCTTAATATAGCCTGGGGAGTTTAGGGAGATGAAGTCTTTTTCAATCCATAAAGGTCTGGGAAGGAAGACCCCACTAAGAATGGAAACGGATTACTGTAACAAATTGTGCCTGGAAATGTTCTGAAGTAAGCAGTTTTCATACTCATTTCTATTACACCGTTAAGCTTCCTCCCCTCAAAGCAGGGTAATGAAGCACAGACTTTCCACACTGAGATCTTTTGAGTTTCAAGTTGCTGAAGTGCGGTCAAGAGGCTTGAACTGCAGATTGTTACTGTGCAAAATGTCAGAAGCAGCTCCATTAAGCTCCCTGACAATCTAATCCAAACTCCATTAAAATCAAGAACATGTAGTTACAAATTCAATAAGGTTTGGATGAAGTTCTTGTGCGTTTCTGAAAGTGCTTCTATGAAGCTCATTGCTATTGCTATTGTTAAACCAGTAAAGGCAGTTTATACAAAGTTCTGGAGGTCTTTCAGAATATGGAAGAGGTCAACCATGCAGTACCAGAATGAGGAAATCACAGGTTCCAGCTCCCTGCCCAGACCTTCTTCTTCACCACCTCTAAAGCTAGCTGATTTTTTATTCTACTTATGGGTTTAGCACAGAAAGTCTAGCAACAAAAAGCCAGAATAATAACAGCTAATCCCTAGTTGGCCAAGCCTGTATTGTTTTCTGGCATAAGGTACCACAGTTCTACTCAGAGGTGAAGATTCCATATTACATTTTAGGCTGGAGTCCCAGACTTCATGCTGAGTTTGATTCTCCCCCCTGCCCCCACTTACTCCACTGACAGACCTCGGGTTGACAAAATAGAAAAACAGGGATATTCCTGACTCTGAGACACATTAGCTAAATTATTTTTAGAGGACACTGCAAGTAAAAAAGGTGTTTATCAAGTTAGCAGATCAACTGCTTGTGTGTAGCTTAAAAGCGTCAGGCTGAAAGTCCCACCACAGGAGTTGGAACTAACTTACTGAGTGCGTGCCTCAGTGTTATGTGYTCATGTGTTCCCCTTGTGGACTTGAACTCTGGCTCAGTTTAGCAGATTTTTCCAGAAATAAAACTGGACCAGCACTGACAGGTTCTGCTCCAGCCCTGTTAGCCTGGAAATGCCCTGAAGTAAGAAGTTTTCATAATAATTTCTATTCAGTATTAAGAAATTCTGGGCAGGAAATAATGTAATAAAGCAAGCTTGCAAATCTAGCCAATTATAAATAAATCTCTCTGTTTTTCAAATGGCATGTCTGCAGTTCAAATGCAAGAAGTTCAGAGAATCAGAAAAAAAACAAAGTTGCCCTTCACACAGATATACTAATGTGGGGCTCAATGTGGGAC